GCATGGCATCTTACCAGATTTAAACTGATGATCTATAATCCGGAGTCGCCGAAGTCCCGACGAGTCCGGATTAACGACTTTTGACTGTATTATTTTTATGCATCGTTCTAAATGTAAGGAGTAAATAAATTAATATGGTATTATTGGAAAATTGTTATTAGCAATGATTTAGTTTAAAGTAATTAGGATTGTAAGCTAATTTTTATTAATTTAATGTATGTGCTTATTTATATTTTAAGTAGTGTTTTTTAATTTAATTATATTTTAATTTAATGATCGTGATTTTGAGAGTTATATGTTTGTAGTATTTTGGAATACGTTTCAGCAGAAGTAAATGTGCATGGAAAGAATTTAAGTATTTGACACTAAGTATTTGGAACCATTTTTAATGTTTGCGTTAGAAATTGGTAGGTGAGGTTTATAACAGATAATTTAGAGGTAAAAGTTTTTGGATATTTTATTTATTTTCAACATGCGAATGTTCATCCTTGGAAAGGGTATATACTTTTTCGCAATCAGGTAATTTCATATATGTCCTTTTTACCGAGTTTAAAGATTCACAAAATTTTCATGCATTTTCGTGAAATTTTTCTAATTTATGAGAAAAAGCAGTGTACATGGATATAGTGAAGAGTGTGCACAATGCCATTTTTGTGCAATTCTGGGATTTTTTTTAAGTAAAAATAAGTCGACGTGTACATGGTTTAATTATATTTTAATTAAATAATAGTTATTTTGTGAATTATATGTTCGTAGAAATTTGGTATACGTTTGAGTGAAAGTAAACGTGCATGGAAATAATTTAAATATTTGACAATAAGTATTTGTAACCATTTTTAATGTTTTGTTATGAATTCGTTGGTGACGTTTATAATAGATAATTTAGAGGTAAAAGTTTTTGGATATTTTATTTATATTATACGTGGAAATGTTCATCCTTGGATAGGGTATATAATTTTTCGCGATCAGGTAATTTCATATATGTGCTTTTTACCGAGTTTAAAGATTCACAAAATTTTCCTGCATTTTCGTGCAAATTTTTGTAATTTATGAGAAAATAGCAGTTTAGATGGATAAAGTCAAGAGTGTGTGCAATGCCATTTTTGTGCAATTCTGGGATGTTTTTTTAAGTAAAAATAAGTCGACGTGTACATGGTTACAGTTTAGATGGATAAAGTCAAGAGTGTGCACAATGCCATTTTTGTGCAATTCTGGGATGTTTTTTTAAGTAAAAATAAGTGGACGTGTACATGGTTACTGTGTATGTGCGATTTTGAAAAACGCGGCAAGAAGTTTGCGATTCTGCACTTTTTCCCAATCTTGCAGTTAATATTTGTCATGATTAAGCAGTTTTGTTGCATAAAATTTCTAGCATAAGTGTAATTCGGCTAGTAGATTGTTGGGAAAAGTGTTGAGTAAATAAAAAGAAAAGAAACATGTCTTTACTTCGTGAAGACAAAATGGCGGCCAAAAACAAAAAAAAAAAAAAAAAAAAAAAAAAAAAAAACAAAGGGTTGTTGTAGCAGAGTTGGTTGCCAAATTTTTGCCAAAAAATCTCCAAATTACCATAATCCAAAGATCAACCGAAATGTTTAATAAGGTAAACAAGTAAATATTAAGCTTTTTTTGTAAATTTTGATACCCTTTACATCATAAATACTTCATTATTTCATAAATCACGATTTCACATTTTTAATTTTATAATTTCTACATGCAATCTTACAAGATTTAAACTGATGATCTAATAACCGGATAAATCCCGAATCCGGAATCGCCGAAGTCCTGACGTGTCCGGATTTCGGACTTTGTGCTGTATTAGGATACGTATTCATATTTGTTTTTCAACCTGAAAATTTTTTTATTTAACTGATAGTGCACACCATCTAATTCTTTCTGTTTCAATTTTCAAAAAATATGAGTAATAAAAAAGAAAAAAAAAAAAGACGTAGAGCTATATGGAAGCAAGTTTCCATTTCTTACAAGACAGCAAAAGACACTATGAAGAATGATAAACCAGTAAGCCTGCTAATTTACTAATACCAATTTCATTTACTTCAAAACTGCATGCAACAGCATAATCTGATTTGCTACATATGTTACACTAATGTTAATGATAATGTAGATTAAGTTTGTAATAAACCATTCAATCAGATTCTTTCAAATGATTTCTCCATGGAAGAAACTTACCCTGATACTGTTTGCCATGTGTTAAACTTTGTAATGCAGAAAGGAATATTTCATTGCTGAAATTTCAAATGAATTATATGCAATATAGTTGAGATTAAAGTTCTAAAAGTTTAGAACAAATTTTCTCCTCTTTTGAATTTTTTCATACAAAATAAGCTAATGCACGCAATAGTAAATAATGTTCTGCGATGTTACGCTGTTTTTAGAATAATATAGATTGTTTTATTATTTTTCTTTTATAGTTCAATTTTGGGTTGATCTTTACATTATGGTAACTTGGCGATTTTTTGGCGAAAATTTGCCGACCAACTCTCCTACAGCAACCCTCCATTTTTTTTTCCCCGCCGCCATTTTGTCTTCACGAAGTAAAGACATGTTTCTTTTCTTTTTATCTCCTGAACACTTCTTCCAACAATCTACTAGCCGAATTACACTTATGCTAGAAATTTTATCAAACAAAACTGCTTAATCATGACAAATATTCAACTGCAAAATTAGGGAAAAAACTGCACAATACCATTCTCCTTACACATTTTTCAAAATAACACATACACATAAACCATGTACACGCCGACTTATTTTTACTTAAAAAAAATCCCAGAATTGCACAAAAATGGCATTGCGCACACTCTTCACTATATCCATGTACACTGCTTTTTTCTCATAAATTACAAAAATTTCACGAAAATACATGACAATTTTCTCAATCTTTAAACCCGGTAAAAAGAACATATATGAAATTACCTGATCGCGAAAAAGTATTTACCCTTTACAAATATGAACATCTCCACATATAAAATAAATAAAATATCCAAAAACTTTTACCTCTAAATCATCTATTACATTATAACACGTCACCAACGAATTCATACCGCAAAGCATTACAAATACTTAGTATCAAATATTTAAATTATTTCCATGCACGTTTATTTCAACTTAAACGTATATACCAAATTCCTACAAGCATAAAATTCACAAAATAACTATCATTTCATTAAAATATCACTAAACCATGTACACGTCGACTTATTTTTACTTAAAAAAAAATCCCAGAATTGCACAAAAATGGCATTGCGCACACTCTTCACTATATCCATGTACACTGCTTTTTTCTCATAAATTAGAAAAATTTCACGAAAATGCATGACAATTTTCTGAATCTTTAAACCCGGTAAAAAGAACATATATGAAATTACCTGATCGCGAAAAAGTATTTACCCTTTACAAATATCAACATTTCCACATATAAAATAAATAGAATATCCAAAAACTTTTACCTCTAAATCATCTATTACATTATACACGTCACCAACGAATTCCATAACCTCAAGCATTACAAATACTTAGTATCAAATATTTAAATTATTTCCATGCACGTTTATTTCAACTTAAACGTATACCAAATTCCTACAAACATAAAATTCACAAAATAACTATCATTTAATTAAAATATAATTAAATTCAAAAACACTACTTAAAATATAAATGAGCACATACATTAAATTAATAAAAATTACCTTACAATCCTAATTACTTTAAACTAAATCATTGCTAATAACAATTTTCCCAATAATACCAAATTCCTTTCTACCTTACATTTCGAACAATGCATAAAAATAATTAAAAATACTAACTTACCTAATCTCCTTCAGAATCTTCATTACGTGGCGGATACACTTTTCTTCATTCTCTTTCAGAATCTTTAAAATCATACTTATCTTTCAAAGCAAGATACCACGTAAAATAAATAAATAATAAAACATGTTTATTTCTCTCTCACACAACCTTAAAAAACATTTATTACTATCCTTTTCAATACCACTAAATACCCATTTCGAATTCACTTTAGTTACGGCCATGGGATCCAAAAATTCACAAACACTATTTCACACAAAACAGAATAAAGCCAAATACAAAATTGCCAGATTTTTTCCCGATTAAAGAACAGTAATTCGACCATTAATATCACATGACATATCCCATGATCTCTCATTTCCCTCACACAAAATAATGCATAATCAGAACTGAATACTACTCACATTCTTAACAAAGTCTAACTAACCTAATCTTCTTCCGAATCTTCCTTACATGGTGGATACACTTTTATTATGGATTCAATAAAATTACTGAACGATTTTTTTTCCGAATTTGATAGAATTTGATAAAAAAAAAAAATTCTCTTTATCACATCTACAATTCACTTTAGACAGCGCCATACAATCCCAAAATTATTCAACCCTACTTCACACAACACACAATGAAGCTTAATACAAAATAATATACATCCACAGATACTTGTCCAAATTCCCCCCTTTTCCGATTAAAGAACCGTAATTCGTCCATTAATATCACGACATATCCCATGATCTCTCATTTCCCCCCCACAAAATAATGCGTAATCGGAACTGAGTACTGCTCACATTATTACCAAAGTCCCAGGTAGTAACCTTTATCGCCTCCAAAATGTCGCCAAACTACCAGTTACCATATTGTAAAGATCAACCCTATTTTGTTTTCTGTTCTTTCGATGTACGCATATACACATAAATTTCTGTGAATATTTTCTCTACTGGTACTGTTTTAGAATTGAAATGTTTCCTCCTTATTCTTTTCTACTCTTTCTTTTTATACTGTTTTCATTCACACAGTTTTCTAAGTGATATTTCTTAGCCCATTTCTTTCATGATGTTTTTAAGAGACACTCAATGCTAAAACAGCAGTTTTAATAGGAAATTTTCTAATATTTTATCTAGATTGCAGAAACACTACAATATGCACTTTAATTATACTTAACACTAACTTTAACAACATACCTGATTGTTCATATCTGTTACAATCTTCTACATTCATCTTGTCATCATCTTTTTTACTGAACAAATCTTGTTTACGAGGAGAATTATAAACTACTTCAACAGAAGACATTTTTGTGAGTTCTTTACCTAAAATTTTGAATGATATTTGATCATAAATTTTTTAACATTCAAAATTAAAAGTTATTCTAATTTAAATAATGATAATATATTTTTAAATAAAATCAACATTCAAAATTAAAAGTTATTCTAATTTAAATAATGATAATATATTTTTAAATAAAGTCAACATTCAAAATTAAAAGTTATTCTAATTTAAATATGGATAATATATCTATAATAATAAAAGCAAGTGTAATGTGTCTGTCTGTCTGTCTGACGAGCTCTCCAGCCAAATCTATCGCACGCAGGGACCTGGAATTTTTTATTACGGAAGCACAAAGGGGCTGGCCACCAGACCTCGAAGCCCGATTTTCGATTTTTGAATTAGAAAAATTTTAAAAAAATTATTTATAATTAATTAATCACGGTTTTTTTGACTCACTGATATTATTATTTGTTTTCAAATAACGTTCGATTGTAACAATTGATTTCTTTATTCTAGCGTTAGTTTGCTGTTTGACGATACATTAAATCGATTAATACAATTCATTTTTTTTGTAGCTTGTGGGGGGGGAAGAGAGAGAGACAGTCTACATGTCCTACACTACTATTCCTGCGCTATTCACTTATCTGCATTTTCTAAATGCACGGGCAACGCCGGGTGGTACACCTAGTTTTTAAATAAAGTCAACACTTTTCCATTAATGGAATAGTACCCCACTAAGAAATGGAATAATATTTCTAAAAGCATTGTTTTATGGTTTAGTAGAAAATCTCTCTTAGTGTCATTGAGAAGTTACTGATTACATGCTACTAAATGCTGTAAAACTGACACCAATTTCAATTGCGGCACCACAAAATTCAACTATTACTCAACAACTCATTTAAAATGATTAAAAATTATTTTTGGAATATAAAGAGGGCTATAATGACTAAGAATATGTTTTACCTGCTTTGTGTTCATTCTTGTTGTCTTGGGATATCACAATAAATATTTTACTATGTAAATGTCTCGTACATTTATTAGGAAATGGTTTGTTTAAGTCTGTGGGTTAGTGTTTTAAAAAATATCATTAATAATATTAATGGTTATATGTTTTAAAAATTATTATTAAACACTAAGATTAATTAAATCCATCTAATTATACTACCATTACACTAACAGCATTAATTAATTATTCTAAAATATATTTGTTTATTTTAGGCATGAAACAAAGTACCAAAACAATAAGCACATTTTTTTACAAACAGATTAAATTCAAAAATTATATTTCAAATGGTCAGTATACTCTCCTAAATTAAGTGAAAAATAAACATAAAATGATAATTCAAACGAAATGAGGAATCCTCAAATATGTTATCTCACTTTTGACGTTTGACCCAATACATGATACATACACCTTTGGTAAAAATGTATTTAACTGCAATATTTCTACATACTTACCAGCTTGATTCACTTCAACACCTCTACAATGATTATTACCAACGTTCGCTGTGTTTACTAACTGCAAATGTCCACGAAAATCTGCTTTATATACAAAATCATCCGTCGTTTCTTTCAATTCAATTTCAGGTTTGATTTTAGAATCATCATCAGCTTCATACGTATTAGCTTCTTCAGAATCAGGTCTTAAATCTTGTTCATGCTTTTCACCATCTGCCCATTCCTTAATTAATTTAACAGATAATTTCTGATCATTTCCCAAACTCATTTTACAGTTTTAAGAATGGACGTAGTCAGTCAAGAAAATTATTGCATTATATGTTGCATAAAGCAACACCATAACAGGATAAAACTTCATTTTTCCGAGAGTGATACTTTTACCATAAATTCAAACCACGTTTTTTCATCTGCAAAGCACGTCGACAAAACAAAAAACAAATATTACACTTTCACAGATAAAAACAAAAAAATACTTCAAGTTCAATCATGGCGGAGAAAATACTCGGTATGTTGCCATATTGCAAGAATAAATTTCAATACAGAACAGACAGACAGACAAAAATAGACAGATGTCTTGTTTTGCACCCACTAAGTCTTTTTGCACAGATATGCGAAAAATTGAACATAGGTGCCAAGAAAAGGTACACTGCTCAAAAAAAAAAAAAAAAAATGGGACAGTGCTATATCTCCCGTTCTACTGGGCCGATTGACAAAATTCAAATTGCGTTCTTCATGTCTCGAAAGCGCGACTTAGGATATATATTAGATTTATATATAGCACTATTCTAACATAGGTATTTTGACACAAAATCGGACCTTTTTCTGAAATAACATATCGATTTTTTTACATATTTCGATTCTACGACTCAAACTACGCCTAAATATGAAATTTTGTAAATTTGGAGCGAAAATTTACGGAGAAAATTCACAAATTTATGTTGGCACTTTTTGTTCAGTTTGCGCCAAGAATAGTTCACTTGGCGAACGTCTTAATATATGGCAACCTTGTTTCCTTTCCGTGAGAGGAAAAAAAAGTCACCATCATTCTTTTTTCCAAATAATATTCTTTATATATTTTTTATTATAACGGTTATTATTTTAAGTAATTTTTTCTTTTTCGAATTTCATTTTAATTGTTTAAGTTGCATTTTTTTCTTCGAATAACTGTTTTAAAAATTTCACTCCTATTCCTTTCCTAATGAAGCAGAATCTACAACACTTGGAGTGTCTTGGAAGTCTAGAAGAGACTGTTTTAGAGTGAAACTCGATAATGACATAGTAGTTACCAAACGACAAATATTGTCCACAATTGTAAGATTGTTTGACCCGATTGGTTTACTAGGGCCAATCATAAGTAAAGCCAAAATATTCCTCCAACGGTTGTGGTTGTTAAAGCTGAATTGAGATGAATCACTACCAAAAAATGAAGCTGATGAATGGAAGAAGTTCTCTACTGAACTGGAAGTTTTAAGTAAAATAGAAATTGAAAGGTTTATTCTTATTGCAGAAGTAGACTATGTGGAACTTCATGGATTTGCAGATGCCTCTGAGGTAGCATACGGAGCAACCATATATTGCAAGTGCCGTTCGAGAAATGGAGAAGTGAAGACAAGGCTAGTGACGAGTAAATCCAGAGTCTCGCCTATTAAACGAGTTACTATTCCGAGACTGGAGCTTTGTGCGGCAGTCCTACTTGCAAGGTTGATGGTTAGAGTAATATCTGCATTAGATATTTCTGTGAAACAACGTTTATCTGTGGAGTGACTCCATGATCGTGCTTTCATGGATACAAAGAGAGCCTTACCAGTTGAACACATTTTGTTGCAAATAAATCGAGGGGCAACAATTCAAGAGTTGACTAATAGTCATCAATGGCGTCATGTGTCATCAAAGGAGAATCTGAGTGATCTTATATCCCGAGGTTTGGATCCCCAGTAAACTTCTACAAAATGATATATGGTGGAAAAGGCCCTCTGTCCTGAGATAACGACGAGTAACCAAATAGAAGAGATTTCAGGTGGAAGTCATTGTGAAGGACTTTCCAGACGAACTTTAAAATCCTTACCGAATCTAATATTTTTCTGAATGTGAAAGCTAACCCTTTTATTGAGGATTTCTTAAATTTAAGTAATAATTACACTAAAATTATTCGTGTTTGTTTTAAGTTTTAGTTTTAGGTTTGTAAACAACTGCAAGGGGAAGGAGATGGTTTCAGGTCCTCTTCAGAGCTCAGAATTAAAATTAGATCTGAACTTAAACTGATTAAGCTGATTCAAGATAGTGAATTTAAAAAAGAAATCTCAAGCCTTGAAAAGGAGGGTAAGGTACCTCCAGATAGCAAGGTAAGACGTATTTTTCCATTTTTAGATCAATATGGAAATTTTAAGAGTTGGAGGCAGATCAGCTAATTGTAAGTTGAATTTTGATAGAAAATTTCCTATAATCTTACCAAAGAATCATAAGTTGACTAATCTAATTATTGTGATGTTTCATAAGAAATACATGCATATTGGTCCACAAGGAACTTACTGTCTATTGTTAGACAAGGGTTTTGGCCCTTAAACAGGGCGCAACACTTGTAGAAAAATAGTACATGAGTGTGTCGTATGTTTCAAAGCAAAACCAGTGCCCTGTCAACAACTTATGGGTCAACTCCCTCAAGAAAGAGTCAGCCGAATTTTCCATTCAATTGTGTTGGAGTTTGATTTTTTGGTCCTTATTTTATAAAATACCCACATCAGAGAAAAGGTCGCCTTAACAAGGTGTATGTGTGCATTTTCGTTTGTTTTGTTACCAAAGCTTGTCATCTTGAGTTGGTAACAGACCTGTCTAGTCAAGCATTTATTGCAACCTTAAAGCGTTTTTTTTTCAGCAGGAGAGGCAAGTGTGCACGCATATTTTCAGATAACGCAACCAATTTTGTTGGTAGTAACGCAGAATTAAAGAAATTGAATAGGCTAGTCAGCAAACCAGATGATGAATTAGGTAATTATTTATCGAGTGAGAGTATTGATTGGTCGTTCATTCCCCCTAGAGCTCCCAATCATGGAGGTCTTTGGGAGGCAGGTGTCAAATCTGTTAAGTTTCATTTGAAACGCGTAGTAGGCAATTTGAAACTAACCTATGAGGAGTTTCTTACAGTAATTGCTCAAATTGAAGGCATTTTGAATTCTAGGCCCTTGCAACCTTTATCATGTGAACCAGAGGATTTTGATATCTTGACACCAGGCCACTTCCTGATAGGCAGACCTATCACGGCTATTGCAGAACCTAATATTTTAAACGTTAACGATAATAGATTAAAGAGCTGGAAAAAATTGACTAAAATAGTACAAACAATTTGGAAGTATTGGAGAAATAACTATTTGAGTGCAATGCAAGGAAGAACTAAATGGTTCTTTGAAAAAGACAATGTCAAGGTTGGAACTATGGTAATTTTAAAGACTGATAATGTTCCTGTATGTAACTGGCCTCTTGGCAGAATCGTAGAGATATTCATAGGTAAAGACAATAAGGTTAGAGTAGTTTCAGTGAAAACGAAAGAAGGTATTTTTAAAAGATCAATTAATAAAATTTGTCTTTTACCTATGCCAAATTAAACAAAAAGTATGTTTGTAATTAATTATTGTATTTTCTTATTATAGTAGTTTGATTTTGTTGATGTTATTATTTGATGTTTACAATTATTTACCTGTATTTCGTATTGTCACTCTGTGTAATTTTTTATTGTAAGATTTAATTTTGAATGATTACATCATGTCAAGGCGGGCGGTATGTTGCGCCTGCGCGCGCATTTCATTACTAACGTCGGCGCATGCGTCTTGAGCTCTTGGAGTTTGTGACATGAGATTGTGAGCTAAGAGCGTGTGAGAGAATTCGTGGCTTCGAGTGGCCATGAACTATGTAAATTAATGAGAATTAAAGTGAGATATAATACAGTCCATTACTTCTGAGTTTATTGAATTATAGTGTAGTGCCTGTGCAAAACAGTCTTTTTGTTTGAGAATTCACATAATCATAATTCTTTGGGGAAGGTTCTTGTTATTACAGAATATCACAAAACCTTTTACATAAATTACTTATAATTTAATGTAATGCACAAATATTTATATATTAATTTTCATATTGATAATTATATTTTACCATATAATAATAGGAGTAAGCTTCAAAAATTATGGTTTCACCGTTATCATCTTTCATTTACAATTCCTGATTTTACCAAACTGGAAGCCTCGCAATACTTCTAAACAAACATATCCATCAATAGGGCTGTCCTCTTCAGCTAACCAGTGTGTTCTCTGCACTGGTGGCCCAGGGTGCCTAGGCAGTTACTTGAAAAGGCCTCCGTTCCTTGCATTAAGGTAACTGGCCTTTGAGAACTGCACTAATACATTCCATAATAAAAAAATCTAATAATAATATAAAAAAAATTACAAACACTCATAAAATGAGAGCCTCCAACATTATCTTGCATGAAGAGGGTGAAGGGAACAACTGTACAGAGGTAATTACAGGCCTCTGCTTAAGAACCCAGTACTCCCTCGACATACACTATACTTAACGTACAATCACCATAAATTTAACATGCATTACCATAATTTCATATACCTATGTGTAAAATTTCACTATTTTTTCACATTTATTACAGTTTTTTAGAATAATTATAAAATTCGTTTAAAATTCTCAACAAAATTTCAAAAACATAAAAACTTATCTTAATATCCTTCCCTATGAATAATTTAAATAGCTTAAAATTCGTTATTTAATTTGCTCACACATAATTATGAAAATTGAAAAATTAAATGAACAAGAATTTCAGATTTCTCAAAACAAATTACAGAAATTTAACCAAAGTTGAAATGAAAACTACAGAATCCTCAGAACATTAAATAATTTAGTTCCTGAGCTAGTTCACACGAATGTAATAATTTTGAGCTGTTGAAAAAGCGGAAGTGCAAATAATTTTCTGTCGCACACACTTGCAAACACTAACTCAGATCGACCTTGAACTCGCTGTCTGCTGAATTCCTAAACGGGAATTCACTGATGATTTAAAGCACTTTTTTTTTCTAAATATTGCAGACATCGGCGAAGCAAATTCAATATTCTTTTTTACTAGGCATTCGAACTTCTCAATTTATCGAGAGATTACTTTCAATCTGTAAACACTACGCGTGATTATTATTTTTTTTTTTTTGAAGCACTTGCAAAACACGGCAGCAGAAGAATGATCTGTTATTTTTTAAACACTGAGATAAAAAATGTATGAATCAGAATTATAGTATAACTATAAACATAAATTCCTCCTCTCTATTCTAAAAACATAAAAACTTATCTTAATATCCTTCCCTATGAATAATTTAAATAGCTTAAAATTCGTTATTTAATTTGCTCACTCATAATTATGAAAATTAGAAAAATAATGAAGAAGAATTTCAGATTTTCAAAAAATTGCAGAAATTTTAACCAAAGTTGAAATGAAAACTACAGAATCCTCAGCACATTAAATTAATTTAGTT